ATTATTTAGTCTGTTAGATATTTTGTCTGTGAGATATTTTATCCGTGAGATATTTAGTCAATGAGATATTTTGTCTGTAAGATATTTTGTCTGTAGGATATTTTGTCCGTGAGATATTTAGTCTGTGATATGTTTCGTCTAAGACAGGGGTCTCCAAACTACGGCCCGCGAGGTCCTCTCATCCGGCCCGCGGAGATCTTTTAATCCACGCAAAAACCATTTGTTGGTGATGGCGGAGGAACTTTGCCCAGAAAAATTAAAGACATTCCTGGAAGAAACGGGCCCCCGATCTGAAATTGGATAGTTAATGCGGCCCTCAGACTGAAAAGTTTGGAGACCCCTGGTCTAAGACATTGTGTCCGTGAAATATTTTTAGTCTGAGGTATCTAGTCTGAGATAATTTGACCTGATATAATTTGCCAAGTCACCGGTGTAGATAGAGCCACATGAACAGTCGGATAAATTCACCGGGAACACAAGTATGTATGCACCGTGCGTTGATTTCATATTCGACTTGAAAGGGATTCAGCGTTGTTGTTTTATCCTAATTACAAGTTAATCGATGGACTAATGTATACGCTGTCTACATCTTATGTTGGCGGCTAATAGCATCATTAGATGAATCTTAAGTCTGTCGGCTAATTATGCCATTAGAAGAATCTTAAGTGTGTCCGCTAATTAAGTCATTTGATGAATATTAAGCGTGTCGGCTAATTACGAATTTTCGGTTTATAATTGCAGCTTTCCAAGGCTTTCTCAGCTTTAAATAAATTCTAGTTCTAGCTTCTTCTTCGTTCTTAATTTTAGTGTTGGAAGGGATCCCCTCCAACACAATTAAGTGTCCCCAGCTAACGAGTCTCATCTGCCGAGCTAGTTCTAGCATTTTAGATGGTTGCCGTGATCCAGTATCCACTAGGATTCAATAACACTTTAACAATCAAACTTCATGTAAACTTTTCAGGACCTGGGCCAATTTAAGAATAAGATTGTAGATTAGGCTTTGTGAAAACTGAGCTAAAGGAGACATTGTTGTTGCATAATTGTCCTCTAGGACATTCGAAACTTCTTTGTCATTCTTAGCACCCGGAACGGTGACCGGAAAGATGCGCAACGGAAAACTGCAAACGGAAACAGCGCAAAAAGAAGTACGCAAGGGTATCTTTGTTTCTTAAATCGAACATTCATCATCATCATCATCATCACTCCTTTATGGCCCCTGGGGAGCAAAGGGCTGCAACCACACATCTCCAGCGGACTCGGTTTTGGGCTGCTCCTCTAATCTGTGCCAATGAGAGCCCAGCTGTTTTCGCCTCCTCCTCAACCGTTCTCTTCCATGTTTTCCTTGGCCGGCCCACCCTCCTTTTCCCCTGGGGATTCCAGTCCAATGCATGTTTTGCGATGTTTTCTTTTTCATTAGTAGACATTAACAAAGAGTGGCTACATGTAAACTGTAGCCTAATAAAACATGAATCGAAACATGAAGAATCTAAAGTGTTTTAGTATAATTAGTTTCATTTTGCGCCGTTGCGCATTTTTCCCACGTTTTCTTTAACTTGCTTTCGTCTCTGTTTTTCCGATCAAATCTTGCGATCGAAATTTCTGGCACTCCCCAGTTAGCTAGCGCGCTGAAATTTTCAGGGAAGCTTTGTTTTGGATGACAATAGAATATTCAATTGTTATTATTACTAAATTGATCCATGGAAACATTTTATTGAGCATTTTAGACCGCTATATAATTGTAGTAAAAACGTGGGGGAAAAGGAACATCACACAGTAACTGTAATTTGATGAAAACAAGGTTCGGTACTCTCCCTCTTTGCTTACTGAGTAGTGTTCACGCGGTGTTTGTGTACAAACAACCGTAACAACTGGTGGCCAGTATGGGGGAGACGATATGGTCGAGTGGTTGGGCACACGATTGCTATCCCACTCGACACGGGTTCAAATCTATGTGTTCTAGTCAGTAACGTATTCACACAACGTGTTTTTTACGAGTTGTCTTTTTACGAGTTGTCTTCGTTTACCCAAAAAAAAGTGAAAAGATAAAATCGATAGCAAGATTTTAATGCAAACAAACAGACAAAGACTAAAAAGTACGTTTTTCATCGCTTATAGTAGAGTGATCGCTTGCATTATTGTGATGTATAGCATTTATTTTCTACTTTTTAGTTCAATCAGAAAACGTGGGTTTTTAAAAACTTTTTTAATGATTATTATTTTCTGGGAACCACCCGGAACTTTACCACATTTTGATAGAAGCCTAGCGGCAAATGTATGCACTGTTGTAGTAGTTCACGGTTCAATTTCGCTCCTATCAGATAGCAATAGTTTATGGGGGTTAGGCCAGCTACTTATTTACTAGTCACTGCTTGATGTGGTTTTAGGTGCTAGATGGTGTTATTTTTAATAGAAACAATAAAAGACATCTAAGGTTAACAAGTAAGACAGAAACACAATTTGTGGATGTAATTTCAATGTTTATTGAACCAGAGTATTTTCA